GTGAGTCTCACTGGAAGGGCACGTGTGAGTGAGTCTCACTGGAAGGGCACGTGTGAGTGAGTCTCACTGGAAGGGCACGTGTGAGTCTCACTGGAAGGGCACGTGTGAGTCTCACTGGAAGGGCACGTGTGAGTGAGTCTCACTGGAAGGGTACGTGTGAGTGAGTCTCACTGGAAGGGTACGTGTGATTCTCACTGGAAGGACACGTGTGAGTGAGTCTCACTGGAAGGGTACGTGTGAGTGAGTCTCACTGGAAGAGCACGTGTGAGTCTCACTGGAAGGGTACGTGTGAGTCTCACTGGAAGGGTACGTGTGAGTGAGTCTCACTGGAAGGGCACGTGTGAGTCTCACTGGAAGGGTACGTGTGAGTCTCACTGGAAGGACACGTGTGAGTCTCACTGGAAGGGCACGTGTGAGTCTCACTGGAAGGGCACATGTGAGTCTCACGGGAAGGGCACGTGTGAGTCTCACTGGAAGGGCACGTGTGAGTGAGTCTCACTGGAAGGGCACGTGTGAGTGAGTCTCACTGGAAGGGCACGTGTGAGTGAGTCTCACTGGAAGGGCACGTGTGAGTGAGTCTCACTGGAAGGGCACGTGTGAGTGAGTCTCACTGGAAGGGCACGTGTGAGTCTCACTGGAAGGTCACGTGTGAGTCTCACTGGAAGGGCACGTGTGAGTGAGTCTCACTGGAAGGGTACGTGTGAGTGAGTCTCACTGGAAGGGTACGTGTGAGTCTCACTGGAAGGACACGTGTGAGTGAGTCTCACTGGAAGGGTACGTGTGAGTCTCACTGGAAGGGTACGTGTGTGAGTCTCACTGGAAGGGCACGTGTGAGTCTCACTGGAAGGGTATGTGTGAGTCTCACTGGAAGGGTACGTGTGAGTCTCACTGGAAGGGTACGTGTGAGTGAGTCTCACTGGAAGGGCACGTGTGAGTCTCACTGGAAGAGTACGTGTGAGTCTCACTGGAAGGACACGTGTGAGTCTCACTGGAAGGGCACGTGTGAGTCTCACTGGAAGGGCACATGTGAGTCTCACGGGAAGGGCACGTGTGAGTGTCACTGGAAGGGCACGTGTGAGTCTCACTGGAAGGGCACGTGTGAGTGAGTCTCACTGGAAGGGCACGTGTGAGTGAGTCTCACGGGAAGGGCATGTGTGAGTCTCACTGGAAGGGCACGTGTGAGTCTCACTGGAAGGGTACGTGTGAGTGAGTCTCACTGGAAGGGCACGTGTGAGTCTCACTGGAAGGGCACGTGTGAGTCTCACTGGAAGGGCACGTGTGAGTGAGTCTCACTGGAAGGGCACATGTGAGTCTCACTAGACAGGCACATGTGAGTCTTCCCTTAGTCACTCAGAAAGAACCATCTAGCAATAATGGCTGATCAGGTCCATGATGTATCCCAGCAAGATGTCCTGGGTACTTGAGTTTGCTCTTCCTTTTTACAGTCCTGGCTTTTCATTATGAGTTTTGTTGGATTCAGGGGATTTTTAGGTTTAGCCTTGATTTTGTTGTTGTTTTGAAGGATTTTTGTTTGTCTGTTTTCTATGTCAGTTGGTTTCGTTGTTTTGAGAGATAGAGTCTTGCTGTGGAGTCTAGGCTGACACCAAGTTTAAGATTCTCTTGCCTCAGCCTCTGAAGTGCAGGACTTTCAAGAGACATCCTTGTTTTGCACCTTGATTTTCTTTTCTTTTCATGATGTGTCTAGGAGCTTGCTTTATGACAGTCAATGCATATGGAGTTATAGCATTCTTCTAGATGGGTTATTGTACCTGTTGAACAGATGAGTCCTCTACAGCCATCACTGTGTGGTGTATGCAGGTCCTATTTTTCAAATAATGTCAAAGCAATCATTTTTTTGTGTTGAGTACCACATGACTAAATCTAAAAACTGTCGGAGATATTTAATTAAAAATGAAATTTCTGAGGGTCTCAAATGTAGTTGAGTGATGGAGTGTTTGGCCTGGTCTCTGGGTTCATTCCTGGCACCACAATTACAGAGCAAAGAGGGAGACAGTGCAGTGGGCTACTGGGGCTCTGCTTGCTGCTTCCAGGGAGGAAGGAAGGAAGGAAGGAAGGAAGGTCAGTCGGAATAAAAGAAGAAAGGAAAGAAAGAAGGTAGTAAGGAAGGAAGAAAAGAAGGAAGGAATTAAGAAGAAAAGAAGCAAGGTAGGTAGGTAGATAGGAAAGAACGAAAGAAGAAAGGAAGGAATTAAGGAAGGAAAGAAGGTAGTAAGGAAGGAATTAAGAAAGAAAAAGGAAAGGAAGCACGGTAGGTAGGTAGGAAGGAAACAAGAAAGGAAAGAAGGAAGGAAGGAGAAAGAGAGAAGAAGGAAGAAAGAAAGGAAAGGAAAAAGAGGGAGGGAGGGATTGGAGAAAAGAAGGGAAGGGAAAGAAGCAGCAGCAGGGTGTGCTCCGATTCTGCTAGCTTGTGGGACAGGGTTAGGAATTTGAATTTGACTTTATTCTAAGTATTTTTTCCCGTGCTTTTAAAAATGTCTCTCTTGGTTAGAATACATGTTTTAGATTTTGTTTTTATCTGCTGGGCAATCTGAATTTTAACCAATGTAACAGACAGGTGGTATTACTTCCTTCATCCCTTTATGTTGTCAGGGCTGGATTCTTTTTAGTTTTTGTGACTTGCTAAAGTTCTGGCCACACTGTTTCACGGAGTCTTCTAAACTTTAGCCTCCTTCCTCTGTTCTGATGTCACTCTGGGGAGAAGTGGGAAGGCAGCTTCATCGTGTCCCTTTGCATGTTAATGGCCTCTTCTCATTAAATATACTCCATTAATTTTATAAGATTTCAAAATTCAGGTTGCGGGGAGAGATCTAGTTAAAGAGCATGTTCGTAACATGCATGTGGCTGTGGATTAGAAGTGCCTCAGCTCCAGCAATCAATAAATAATAAACACGTTATCTCCTGTGTCGGCATCTGTGTGAGTGACTGCTCCATTTCTATCTTCCCTTTCCTAAGTCAAAGGATTCACCCTCCATTTGCATAATGAGGTTTTAGAAATTTTTCTTCTACTGTATCTTTAAATCTTTTCTAATTTTTTTCTTATTTTAATATACTTTACATTTTGTGTGTGTGTGGGGGGGGGGGGTCAGAAAGATAGTCCAGCCAGTAAGGCACTCACTGCTATGCCTACACGACAGAGTCTGTACTAGGCCGTTTTAAGATTTCTTCCCTGCCAATGGAATAAATCCAAAACTCTTCACTTTATCCTGAGGCAGGTTCTTTAGACAAGGACAAAAGGCAGTCACATTCTTCGCCAAAAAAGTCACCAAAATGATCTCTAGGCAGTATATCCATGCTCCTACTAGTATGACCCATTAAGCAGTGCTTAAAGCATTCCACCGCTTTCACAGCCCAAAGTACCAAAATACAAATTTCTCCAAACAACAGCTGGTCCAGCCTATCACAGCAACATCCAGTCACTGGTACCAACCTCTGTCTTAGTTTTTTATTGCTGTGAAGAGATACCATGACCACAGCAACTCTTCAAATTAAAACATTTAATTGAAGAAACTTGCTTACAGTTTTAACAACTGAACGTCACACTGAGGGACATGTGACCCAAAAAGACCTCAAAGCCCACCTCTACAGTGGCACACTTCCTCAATAAGGGCATTCCTCCTATTAGTGCCTCTCCCTTTGGGGGTCGTTTTCTTTCAAACCACTCTCTTGGGAGAGGACTCCTGTGGGACCACAGGGAATCTCTGTGTGTCATGAGTTTTCTGCTAGAGGACTGGTCCTCGACAGCTTTGATTGCTGTCTTAGTTGGTGTTCTGTTGCTGCGAAGAGACACCATGACCACAGCAACTCATAAAAGGAACCATTTAATTGGGGCTGTCTTACAGTTTCAGAGGTTCAGTCCATTGTCATCATTGTGGGAAGCATGGCGGCATGCAGCCAGATGTGGTGCTGGAGGAACTGAGAGTTCCACATCCTGATGGGCAGGTAGCAGGCAGAAAGTGAGACCCACCGGACCTGGCTTGAGCCTTTGAAATCCCATAGCCTACCCCCAGTGACACACTTCCTGCAACAAGGTCACACCTCCAAATCCTTCTAAATAGAGCCACTCCCTGTTGACTAGGCACTCAAATCTGTGCTCCTCTGGGGGACATTCTCATTCCGGCCACCACAGTTGCCATTCATTCTCTCCATGCCATCATTCTGATTGAGATTGTAGTTTAATCCACATATCTCTGACAGCTAAGGTTGCTGACTTTTCTCATGTGTTTACTGGCCGTTTTACATCATCTTCTGAGAACGATCTGACCAATTAACTCATTTTCTCATTCACTGATCGAAGTGTTTGTTTATTTAGTGTTTAGTTTGTCCAGAGCTTTGTATATTTCAGATATTAATCTACTGTCTGGTGTATAACACTTTGCTCCATAACTGCTCATGAACGATAATCCAGCGTTTTATTCACTAATACCCACAGGTCATCATAAAAGGTGATTTAAGTGCACTTGCTCCGTCTCATCCCATGTTGGCCTTTGCCGAGGTAGAGGACAGCCGATCAAGGAAGTTACTATTGTGTCAACTAAAAGCATATATGACCAACAGAAGTGTTTCTTGGTTTTTAATTAGTTATGATCTTTAGCTTTTTTATAAAGCCCTACAAAGAGAAATCATATTTATCAAATCAGTTTTATAGGGGGAAATGCATGAAGTTCAGACTCTTTCGGTTAACCAGAGGGTTGACTTTCTGGTATAAATTTGTATTTGGTATAAATTCTTTTCCCTGTGAACATGGCATATATGACCTCCCAAAGTCAGTGCATCCTTAATATAAATATTCTTTAAGATATTGATATTTATGATATTGGGAATTTATAATCCTTGAAAGGATAATTGCCGCAGTCCTGGCACACAGTCTCTCCTGGCAGCTGTGTCCAGCTGGTGGTCCACATTCCTGGCTACTTCTCTAGTGAGTGGAAACATTTAGGTCAATATTGATATAAAACTTGACGAACTTTGTTCTCTTGCAGCTTTGGTTCGCCTTTGTTAATGGATTTTCTGGGCAGATCTTATTTGAGCGCTGGTGCATCGGCTTGTACAATGTGGTAAGCATTCCCCCCTTTCTGTTTGATAGCATGCAGGACTGCGGGGCCTTCCTTCAGTGTTTATGTCTGGGAAGTGTATCTAAGCCAATCATCTGTATACTTAGCAGGCATTGCAAATAGATCTTCAGGGCCTTTGTCGCTGAGACACATCCTGCAGAAGCCCAAACTCTCCACACATGGTTTCAATCATAGCAGATCATTCTTGAGGAGCCCCGTGAAATTATTAACCCATATATCTTGGTAATAGACCCCTGGCTACCCCCTTTGCTAAACGCTGCTGCAACATTTTCAAGTAAAAATTTCTGTCCTGCATAGATATGGGCAAAGGACATATGCATACGACCTAGTGAGCTTTCTGCCCTTCTTGGAAGAAATACCTTTTACTTCTGACTTCTAGCTCCTTAAAGAACACTCTGCAGTGTCTTTGAGTTTTGTTGTTGTTTGTTTGGGTTTGGGTTGTTTTTTTTTTTTCATTACTTGATGGACAAATACAAAAGCCAAAATTAACTATAAAGTATAAGCTAAAATGTCTAGTTTTCTTGGGTTTTGTTTCTCTGGCAGAAAGAACTAAGGGACAGATGTGGCTAAATGCCCTGGTGCCCCATCTATGGGTACCTGTAGTGGCTCATCTCTTGAATTGCTTTGCTCTCTCCTACCGCTTGGTGTACCAATCCTGGCTTCTTGCCCTTCATGGAATTTCACCTCTGAAATAGCTGCCCCAGGGAGGTGTAGATGGAGTCGGGGGTGGGGGCCATGGCTAAAACAGCTCGTGGTACTGCATGCATTGGTGGCTGTTTAGCCACATCCTCCAGCCCACTTTTCTCAGTAGCTGTAAAATGCTGAATACACAGTGTAACCTGGACCTGTGGACTTAGCAGTGAGAAGGATCAAGTGTGTGGGCTCAGGCACTGGCCAGGCTGGGTTCTGCTTTTGAGTTGAGCTGTGATGGTTAGTGGACTGTGTTACCTGCTGCAACCTGTACTACATGCTTGTGCAGATCTACTAGAAGGTGAGCCGGAGAGAGAGAAGGGCTAATTTAACGAGTTAAGGCTCTCCTCAAACCTCCACCCACACAACCATGGCTCAAGGGCCTCACTTCTGTGTGCTGATGAGAGACTAGAGATGACTAGAAACTAGACAGATAGATGATAGATGGATGGACAGATGATTGATAGATAGATAGATACATAGATACATAGATAGATAGATAGATAGATAGATAGATAGACGATAGATAGGCGATAGAGAGATAGATGATAGATAGATAGATAGTTAGTAGATAGATAGATACATAAATAGATAGATAGACAACAGATAGAGATTAGAGATAGCTAGAGAAGCCACATAGAAACCCATGCCATACAGCTAGCTCAGACATGAGGCTGATCCCTTGAAGGATAGGCTTCAACATTAAGGACAGCCTAGGATGCATGTCACCCTATGGAATGAGTAGAGTTTAACCTGTTTTCATGATCAGGTTATGGTTTTCTTAGCTCTAGATAGCTTCAGAAAATTCAAATTAAACCTAAGAAATTTTAGGGGATGCCTGAGCCCCATGGGCTGAAGGAGGCTGAAGGACAGTGTTGATCAAAACAAGACCCATAGTCCACTCACAGGAAAGAAAAACAAGATTTTAAAAATCTGTGTTTTTAAAAACACAGATTCTTGAGCCCTCAGTCACTCAGTAGAGAGTGCCTCCGAGATGTGCATCTTCTTAAAGGATTGCTCCCAGGGAGTGCCGCGCCTGTGCAAGGTTAGGAATCACCTGACCTCTAATGTGTAGGGTAGGGAACATGTTTTGTGTACACAGTGCCCACCAACCAATAGAGAAGAAGACTCTATAGCAGATAAATCAGTTCTGAGGTGAACCAACCCTAGGTTACCAGAGTCCTAGACAAGGAATTAAAGTGGGTGCTGGGGCATGATAGAAGTGCTGGGGGTACTGGGAGTGTTGGGGGGTTGGGGAGCTGGGGGTGCCTGGGGTGCTGGGAGTGCTTGGAGGCTGGAAGGCTGGAGGTGTATGGGGAGCTGAGGGTGCTGGGGGTGCTTGGGGGACTGGGGGTGCTGGTCAGAAAGGTCTTTCTACTTGCACCAGACCAGCAGTCCTGCAGTCTCTTCCACTAGACGCTTGAAACCTTTTGAGAACATGAAGGGATTTTCATTCATTTGTGAGTATCATGGCATACTATCCAAGGCTGAATTCTCTATATAGAAAACAGGCTTAGCTGGTCACAGTCTAGGAAGCTGAAGGTCCCACAGTGGCCAGCCTGTGTATGTTCAGCCCCGGTGAACCCCTCACCTGGTTCCCTGACACTAGGCCCCACCTCTTGAAGCAGAGGCAGGCAGATCCCTGTGAGTTTGAGGCCAACCTGGTCTACAGGAGCTAGTTCAGGACAGGCTCTAAAGCTACAGAGAAACCCTGTCTCAAAAAACAAACAAACAAACAACAAAAGAAGTAAAGTATTTGACAAAGCAAGGCTGATGTCATGAATTCAAGAGTTTCAAATTAAAAGATCAACCTAACTATGTCACTAAAATGAATAAAAATGAGGTCCCATCAGTAAGTGCCACGCAAGTGTTTGAAGTAGTTCAGCTGGTGTTCCCAAGATAAGACCTGGCCAAAAATAAAAATGCAGCCACACAGAAGCCAGTCAGCCAGATTCCAGACGCTTGCAAAGCTGCACACGCTGCCATCCCCAGCAAACTCCCTGTTGGTGGACCAGCCATCACTGTGGGGTGGGGGGCGCCAGCCATCACCAGGGGAGCGGCCATTATCACTGCAGAGTTCAGCCTCACCCTAGAGTTCTCAGCAGCCACCAAAAAAGTTAGACAAGGGTTGCAAATGCTAGGAAAATCACGAGCAGCTTCAATGTTTATACCAATGCTCCTGCAAATGAAACAATGGTCGCATTCATGCGGTCATTTACGATTGTCTATCCAGAAAATCCAGGAGAAACCAATGAAAAACTACTAGACATGTGAGAGAATTCCAAAAGAGCCAGATTAGACTTTTTTTTTCTCTCCTTGTAGCCAGTAATTCTAGGTCTATGAGTTATTTCTAAATTCTAAATCTCAGTCTTTTTCTATTTCAATGGACTCCTAAAAACTGCAGAAATAGTAAGAAGTCCTTTCAGAAAACAAACTTGTACATTGCTGGCCAGAGCATCCGATGGCCAAGTTCCAGCTGCTTGAGAGACTGAGACAGGGAGAATTATTTGGCCTCAGATTTGGGGACCAGTCAGGTAGCACAGTATGATTCTGTTGCTCATATATTTTATATAAATTACATAGTTGCGACTTTATGGTATCCCCATGAAATGGCCCACTGTCCTCATGACTAAGTCACCTGGGCCTCAGAACACCTCCTGTGGTCTCAGCTACTACAGAGGATAAGGCCAGAAGATGTTAAATTCCACACCTGCCTGGTCTGTGGAGTGGCCCAGGTCACTTAGTAAGACATGTCTCAAAATTCAACAGTAAAGTAAAACAGAAGCAGGGCTGGAGATCCAGCTCAATGTAGAGTGAGTGAATTCCTACAGGACCTCTGAGAAAGGACAAGGAAATAAAGACTTAAAACCAGGGCTTAAACAGAAAACGTACTGGGTTTTTGTTGTTGTTGTTTTTGACAGTCCGTGTGATGTATTTGAACACTTTTACACATAGCACAAATGAGAACAGAAACATATGCAGGATTCAACCTGATTAAACATTCCGTTCAGTCCTGAGCTTCTCATGGTTAATATAATATAAATTCATAGCAAATTCTTTTAAAATGTGTATCTCAGGCTGGTTGTGACTGGGGGTAGGGGGCTTTGGTTTGATTTTACAGAACATGCTCATTTCTAACATGATAGAGGAACTTATTCCAGTAGAATCCTTTCCCCACACTAAGAGTCAGCAATAGTGTTCTGAATTACACGCAGCTTGCTTGACGTGGGCCGTCACATTTGTATTAACCCATGATTCAAAAATCATCTTACTAACTCAATCACAAAACCATATGGGCAAATAAAACTTTTAATGTTCTTAAAAATATTTTTAAAGGTAAAATTTATTCTGGACAGGATAAAAAGAATTTAATATTTAGCTCTCAAGTTTGGATTATCAGTATATTATTACAGTTCTATATATCAGACTTTTAAGTGTGAGAGATACAAAAAGGGTATTACTTGTCAAATGAACAATGTTTAGCTGAGTCTCTGTAGCATACAAATTAAGTACACTTTATTCTTTAGTACTCATCTGAGACTTTTGTATTACAAAAAGTTAGCAATAAGTCTGATGATCATAAAGCTGTAATACTCCAGTACAGTCTCTTGTAAGCCCAACATTTATGATGGCCAGAACCGAACTATATATTAAACAGAACATATATAAGACCATAAATAAGTAAATAAATGAAAATAAAATCGTATGGTACAACTGCACAAAATTCTATGGACATGTCCATGGGCCAAACTCTGATGGCTTCAAGGTCATTACAAAGGCATCAGTTCATAAGCTAGTGTACACATTTACACAATGAGAACAGGTCTGGGGGTGCAAGAGGAGCTGTGTGGTGCTATAGAAAGTATAAGTGAAAATAAGGAGGACTTGAACACAGATACGCTGCACACATTCAGAAGAGAATGTAGTCTTTATTATCAGACCAGCTCGGAAAGACCGTCAAGAACTGTGTGTTTCTCACAGGCTCAGGGACTCTACAGCCGCGTTCCCCTTCCAGAGTCTAAACAATACATCAGAGTCTAATAAGTGCTAATGGTGATTTTTTTTTTCTTTTCAACTTTGTGGGAAAGTGTGAATTAATTGTGTTTTCACATCTGGTTCATTATCTGGGGAAAAATGAATACTTTGCTTATTCCTCATAGAAAAATAAGTTCTAAATGCATTAAAGACTTAAATGGGAAAAATAAAACCATGAGACTCCCCTCACAGGCTCCTAAAAACTACACGTAAACTCCAGGGTGGGAAAACCATCCCCACGTGGGCCGTCCAAGGTTCTTTTTTGACCACTTAAAACTTGAAAACTTTTAGGTTTCAAAAGAACCATGTGGGGAAGAAAAGAAGCTGGTAAACAATGAACGCAACTGGAAGACCCCACTGGGACCCCATAGGGCTCCCCGGTTCAGCTGAGCATGGGCGGAGAGCAAGGAGGGACTGAGAGTTGCCGAAGCAGGCAGACCCAGATGGTCAGCATGTGCAGACTCACTGGTAGACAGGGAAGTGTAAAAATTTTAAAGGAAGAGTTAATATCTTGACTTTTTGAGACAAGAGAATAATAAACGTAGCGTATAACCCCTGCCTGTCGGGAAGGCGGCGAAAGGTCGTCCTTGTTCTTTGCAAAGGGGGATACAAAAGGCTGGAACTCTTTTTAGAGTGCAGGCAGGCAACATCTTATAAAATTCAAACTACATGTTTCCTTCCTTACCCGGCAGCTCTTCCTCCCATGCAATAAAAGCAAAGCATATATGACACCATATAATAAATGTTTGCCGCATGTTCATGGTAAAAACAAAAGGATGAATGTCTGCCGATGGATTAATAACTCAACAGTATGGCACATCCCTGCTGTGAATTATTATATAAACACTAAAGAGCACTAAAAAGACTGCATTCGTGTTAAATCCAAGAGGCTTAAAGAGCTTTCTGTGATGTATTGTTAAGCAAAATTTATGATGAAGATAAGTGTGTGTAATGTCTCCATTTTGTTACAAAAAAAAATGTCCCCAAGCAGGCTACATAGGTGAATGCAGCATGCTTTAAGCAAGATGAAAGTGTGGCAAAGCTTGCTGGGCTACCCCCCCAGGAATGAGGGCTAGAGAGGGCTTGAGGTGTATTGAGGAGAGATTCAAATACAAGAGAGAAAGGAAAAAGGTAGCAGAGTCTATGTACGATGCGTGTACCGATACAGAACAGTGGAGGTGAAAGATGAACCCAAAATGCATGCGGAGCTGCTGAGACAGTTTTTGGCCACGCCCTCTGCTCACTATGAAACACCAGCTGCTGTCGCTGTAGAGAAGTGACAGCAGTCGTTCCTAGTCTCCTTGTAGCCTGTTGAAATCGCAGGGCTGCTTCCCATTGACCCTGAGCTAAAGCCAGCGCTTGGGAGAGTCCCTGGCCTGGCTCGCCTGTCTGACCCCAGCAGCCCTGGGGAAGGTGTGTGTCATTGGTCAGACTCTCAGTCTCCAGGTAACTGGTGTAGGTTTGAGATTCTCTTAGAGGGGCTTGTTCTATTCCATGACTACAGAGCTGACTGGGTTTGAGGGTAGAGATTCCATCAAAACAGAGGATAAAATCATGGGCCAAGTGAGAGAGTGACCCACGTGCCCAGGATGGAGACAGCTCATTCCTTCCAAACGCATCTTCATCATCTCACTTTATTTTGCAAAACAGAAACACGGGCCCCTCTGACGCCTGAGGAGAGCATGTGAAAGTTGGCACCTCAGAGACTCTATCTACTCAAGATTAGTGCCCCCGAGAGTGTTTCTGTGGTCTCCCTTCACCTTTGTACTGTGTCCCCAGCCAGGTACATCCTTCACATGCTACAGGTTTCCCCAAAACACGTTGTCAATGCCTGAGAGTGTTAGAGGGTACCCTTCTCAAAGGAGGCACCAGGAGCACCCTTCACCGTACTCAGCATCACCCTGCCAAATCCTATAGGTCCCATGCCCTGCAAGCCCCGTGCTCTGATGCACTGAGTCCTTATTTCACAACAACACAGGAACATCCTTGGCTGACCCACCTCGCTGAGCCCCCACGCATCACACCATTGCATCCCCATCACCCTGTTGTCACAGGTTACCTCCTCTGCAGTACACACAGGGGCTCAGAAACTTTCTGGACTTTCTTCCTCGCTGAAGCAATGTCTGAATTCTCAGTGCTGCCCACACTGTCTGCCCCCATCTTGTTCACAATAAGTAACCACAGTAAATGAGGTACCAGTGCCTCCTAAGCCATGCAGAGAGACTCAGGAGGAAAAGTTGTACAACCTGCTCTGACAGAAAACACGCCACTTCCTGGAGCTAATTGTAGCGTGAGCACCATCACGGCTGGTTCTAGATAGGAGGGCAGCCGTTCACCTCTGAGTTCTTAGCTCATCGGGATTTATGTTCTTAGCACTCCATGGATTCATTTGCATGGATTAACAATAAAGAATGGTTATTTTTAATTTTTTATTTCTTTTGTTCTATTTGACAAATGAGCGGCAGGTTGTGAATCATGGAGCCTCGGGTTTGGACTTGACTAGAAATTAAGTCATCGCTTGCAGAGCCGAAACACTGGCTCAGTGTGAGGCAGAGGGCTGTGTTTAATGGCTTATTGTCTCCATGCAGATCTTCACCGCGTTGCCGCCCTTCACTCTGGGAATCTTTGAGAGGTCTTGTACTCAGGAGAGCATGCTGAGGTTTCCACAGCTCTACAAAATCACCCAGAACGCAGAAGGCTTCAACACTAAGGTAAACAATATGATGAAACAGCTCTCGCCTACGAAAGGCACAGCCCTGCCTCTCCTTCAGCTCTGAGTACCCTCCCATGAGATGAGTGGTCCTTTACAGAGGGCGCTGACACAGCCCCTTCACGTCCGGTCCTGTGAGCCAGAGGCAATTCCCTCAGGTCCAGCCAGCGTCTCCTGCCTTCTCCCCACAGCTCTGGTATTCTGTGGGCAGCAGCATCCCATGTCCCTTCCCATTACAGTCAGCCATATGCTCTCATGCGGCCCTTGTTAAGGCTGGCTACAAACTTAGCTTACTGGTTTTAATTTTGTGTGTGAGGTATATGCATGCTTGCACATGGCGGGAAGGGCACACAGATGCAGGTGCATGCAGAGGCCAGGGGAGAACATTGGGTGTCTCTCATTCTCCACTCTATTTTTTGAGACGGAATCCTTCATGAAGCCCGAAATCCACTGATTTGGGTATTTTGGGGGTGACCTCCTGTCCAAAAAGCTCTCATCTGCCTGTCTCTGCCAAGCACCACCCAGTGCCAGGTTAAAGGAATGCACGGCGAGTTCTGACTTTCAAATGAGCTGGGCATCCAAACTAAGGTCCTTCTGTCTTCTGGGGATGCCTAGAACTCAAAGTGTTGTGCATGTTAGAGACTTTTTCAGGGAAAGGGTAGAATTTGGAATACTTGCCTTGTATAATATGTCTCAGAGATGGAATCATGTCTAAATATTCAACGAGTGCTCAACAAGTTTTGCGTTTGGGAGCAGTCAGGATTTGCTACTTTCAGAATAGAGATGCTCAACCGGGACAGATTATTCTGTAGGGGCCCAGGAATACCAAGGTGGGCCCATATATACATGCTAACAGTGGCGGTGCCATTGGCCAATGTTGCCTGAAGGGAAGCCATGGATCTTCTCTGCAGAGAAGGCAGACGATGAGCATGGCCCTGGTGCTGAGTGGGCAGGGACTACAAGGGTGTAGAGGACCACCCACCTTTTCAGGCTGTCCCGAGGAGATGCTACTGATGGTCGGCTGTCACGGCTGCCTTATCCTTGGGCAGATGCAAGACTGGAGAAAATAAGAGGCAGGAGAAGGATGGGCAAAAGTGAGCCCATAAGGGCTGAGCTTAAGGAGCAAAGGTACAGTCTTCCCAGCACACACGGGGCCTGGATCTGATACCAGTCATCGGGGTAAAACGACAGGTAAATAAAACTGGGGACAAATCCTGTTGTCTCATAAAGTGATATCTCATGCCGTTTGGTGCTCCCAACTGTGGTTCAGTCACCTTCATGACATTCTGCAGCCACCTGTAGACCACTGAGCATGTGTCTCCTGGATTTAAAAGTAGTATCATCTCAGCTGGGCTGGGGCTTGGTAACACAGCACATGTATAACCTGGCTTCAAAAAAACAACTTTTAAAAGCATCAAAAGGCTCATGACAGTCTCATTAAGGATAAGCAGAACTCTGTGCCCTTTTGTTTAATGCTGCAAACATTAAAGGAGAATTTCACATTTTTTATTTTGTATCTTGGGAAGCAGTGTGCCATGTCACTGTGGATGCATGGAGGTCAGAGGACAACCCTCAGCCACGTGACTCCTGGGGATTGAACTCAAGTCCTCAGACTTGGTGACAAGAACCTTTGCCCACTAAGCCATCTTGCCAGCCCCCAAAGAAATCCAAAGAAATTTTTTTTTTTTTTGGTTTTTCGAGACAGGGTTTCTCTGTGGTTTTGGAGCCTGTCCTAGAACTAGCTCTTGTAGACCAGGCTGGTCTCGAACTCGCAGAGATCCGCCTGCCTCTGCCTCCCAAGCGCCAAAGAAAATTTTTTAGTGTGTGTGGCATTAACCTCCAAGATGACTTTTTAAAAAAAAGAATGACTTGGGTATTTTAAGATATTAAGAAAATTTTTTTTAAAAAAAGACATTAAGGTGAAAAAATTGAGAATTTATACATAAATTGAATTTTAATGTTTTCAAAATAAACAGAATTTGGGTTTTTTTTGCTTCCCACTTTTAACCTCTACCCCCTTTTCTGAGTGATTGTGAAGTGTCCTCTTCACACACTGAAGCTCAGTTCTCAGATGTGGGTGCATTGCGTGTCATCTCCATGCAGGTTGTCCTGAAGTAATATTATCTGGAGATCGTCCTGCCACCTACATGGAAACAGGAGGGAACAGTTTTTTTTGTTGTTGTTGTTTTATCTCAGTTTTTTTTTTATGTGAGACTAGCAGTGCCCCTTGCAGAAGGGACCCACCATACCTTGCCTCAGCTGTCACAAGCTACACACAAGATCCCAGTCCTGAACGCTCTGACCCCTGGTTTGTCTCCCCACAGGTTTTCTGGGGTCACTGCATCAATGCCTTGGTCCACTCCCTCATCCTCTTCTGGCTTCCCATGAAAGTACTGGAGCACGGTAGGCAATGCTTTCGTGATTTCCACCACCAGCAAGGAATGTCGCCTGCCATGGGGCCAGTGTGTGTACCCTTTCCCCCAGCTGTGCACCGCATGAGATTAAAGACAGGGAACACAGACCAGCCACCCAGCAGGAGCTGGTTCCAAGTCTGTCGCGTGCAAGTTCTGTCAGTTCTGGAATTTTCTTTGAAATGGCTATGTAAATACTAGAAACTCCACACTCCATTTGTGATAACTGAGTCTTTGACCTGGAGGGAGCACTTACGTCTCTTCCCCGTGAATTTAAAAGCCTCTGCCACTCACTTAAACTTTCTGCTTCAAGTTCCTCGTATCTGTATTCAGGTCTTGTAAATGTAATCCCACCCCGTGTTTCCTGAGAGCAATCTCCCCGACACACCTATCTGAAGTCATAGCTGATTCTCCAGGTTGGCTTTAGTCCTGCACAGGAATAGCCTGTGCTAGTTCCCTCTTCTTGATGAAAACACACCATAAAAATGCCATCCCTCTCAAATCATCAGAAGCTCCTTGGGAGAAAAAGTCATTGCTAAAGTTGGCTAGGCAAGGCCCTGGATTTTCCGAAGGACATAGGAGTATAAGGTTTACAAACTGTTCCTGTCAGTGTGCCCCGTGTTCCACCGGAATGGCTCATCACACTGATGCTGTCTGGCCCATCCCATGCTGTCAGATGGACAGACAGCTGCTTATGTTCCGTGTGCTTTCCTTTCAGACATCTTACAGCTCCCTCTCTTTAGAAGGCCCTTAAAGATTTAGGAAAGAAAATGAAGTTGTCTGCTTCTAGATCCCTTACTCCCACCCCCCAAAAAAGAGAACTTTCTAGCAAAACAATTGTCTTTGAACTCCAAAGGCCCCTTGCATTTCATCTTTATTTGTGGTGGATTTGATTTCTGAGGGCTCTTGAAGTCAGAGTCCATGAGTAGAAGGGCCTGGGCTGTGGTTTCTGTTCAGAAGCTGTGTCATGTTGGTGACGGGAGCGGCTGTCCCCTTGGCAGGATTTGACCAGTGACAAGAGTGGCGCACTTTGGAGCTCCAGAGCGCTCGGCGGCTGGAGTTGTAAATCAGGCTTGTGCTCACATCGGGATGACCCTAGAAGAGTTTGCCTTCCAGCAGAGTTTCAGACGGCCATTATGTGCTACAGCGTGGCTCTCTGATGCCTGAGCTTGTGACCTGCAGGTGGTGGTGGCATTGCTACTGTCTGCCTAGATTCCATCACTCCGCAGATGTGGCCCGTGACTAAGAGTCAGCGTGCATACACATCTAGCAGGTGTTGCCGAGTGAATTTAAAGTTGGGGTTTGCTTCCCTTACCTGTCCCTTCCAGTTCCGTTATTTGCCTAACAACAGGTGAACCAGATGGTACCGGGGGGGTCTGCATTTGTTGTCACTCTCAGCATGGGTGTCATCTGGTAAATTTTTAGCATAAGAGTTTTCTTCTAGCAGAGTTGCACGTAGCCCAAAAAGTCAAAAGTGTCGGAGGGAACTAAATGACAGATATTAGCTGTATTGGCATAGGGGCCATTTTTGTTCTTGATCTGATTTCCCTAGCAAAGGAGATAACTCTTTTTTGAGCCAATTTGTAAAGTTTCTCACTTAGTTAGAAGCAAGAGTTGTTAATACCACAGACCATATGCATTCATGTTTCCATGACTCAGAAACTGTGCTGGATTTCAAGGGTGAAAGATAAATTTAGGGGCCAGCAAGATGGCCCAGCAGGTAAAGGTGCTTGCTGCCGAGCTTGATGACCTAGGTTGAATCACCTGAACCCTCATTTCAAGAGGGGAAAACTGGCTCCCTCAGTGTTTCCCTTGACTTCCACATGCTGTGGTGCACATTCCACGGACACACAAAATAAATAATACTTATAATTTTACTAAAGAAAGGTCAATGTACAAGTGTAAGCTGAGTGTCTTTTCTTTTAAGACTTTGTACTTTAGTACACGGGAGAAAATATCTCGAGTAAAGTGCAAGCAGTGTGTGATTGAACACAGAGCTTAGGAAGACATTTCATTTGGGTTGTTACTACCTTTAAAGGAGATCACACTTAGGGTTAGCTGTGACTCTGAATAGGACTCAGTTGTGCAGGAATGGCAGAAGATCCAAAGTGGGAAATGGGCTCTTTGTCGTTCCCTGTGATCCCTATATGGAAATCCTACACCCAAGATGATGGAGAGGCGGGGCCGCTGGGGTGGCAAGGTCATGAGAATAGAGCCCTCTTGAGTGTACTCTTGAGAAAGAGACTGGGGAGTGTGTCTTCCAGTGTGTGAGAATGCAGAAAGAAGAGCCCTCTGTGGGGGAATGAAGCCCCTGCCACCCTCAGTAGCTGCCAGTGCCTTGATCTTGGACTGTGAGGAATAAGTTCATGTTGATTGTCCCAGTCTGTGGGATCTTGTGGGATCAGTGGACAGTGTCGTCCCCCTCTCCTCCTCTAGCCTTGTGACTCTGTACATGAGAATGTGTCTGCACATGCCTAGCATTCTATGTGGAAGGCTGAACTCTGAGAAGACTACAGCATAAAGGAAAGAATGGTGGCTAGATGGGGCGGTGGGGGAAAGAAGTGGGAATGCAAGGGAGCCTTTTCTTACTGAAGGGCTGGAGGTAGGAGAGGGGTAACATAAGGCTTTGCTTATGACTCAGTTAAGACTGTTTTATAGAGAAACACAGGACTTGGCAAAAGATTTGGCATGAATTGCTGCTGCTGCTGTTGCTGCTGCTGGTGGTGGTGGTTGTGTGTGTGTATGTGTGTGTGTGTGTGTGTGTGTAGGCGGGGACCACATGTTCATTTCCCAGCCAGTCAGGCCCAAATAACCACACAGAAACTAAATTAATTACAACACTACTTGGCCAATAGCTTAGACATATTCCTGGCTAACTCTTACATCTTAAATTAACCCATTTCTATTACTCTATGTATTGTAACGAGACTATGGACTATGGGTAAGGTTTTCTGGCATCTTTCTCCTTAGGCAGCTACATGGCGTCTCTCTGACTCTTCTCTCTCTCTCTCTCTCTCTCTCTCTCTCTCTCTCTCTCTTTCTCTGCTCTGATTTCCCACCTGAATTTACTCTGCTAAACCATTGACCCAAACAGATTTATTCATTAACCAATAAAAGCAACACATATACAGAAAGACATCCCACATCATCTCTCCTTTTCTGTCTAATTCAAAAGAAAGGTTTTAACTTTAATATAGTAATACTACATATAATAAAACAGGTCAAGCAAGAATTACAGTTGCAATATTTAGTCTATTTATATCTGACAAAATTAAAGAAAATATTTTATCATCTATCCTATCTTTGTGAATCTAAAGTTTTATATCTAATTTATCTTATATCATAATTAAGGAAAACTATAACTGTCTTCAACTCCACCAAAGACCCCAAAAGGATATAATATTACCTAAGTAAACAGGAAGTGCATTGTAAGCAAACTTCCAAAACTCTAGAATTAGCAGAGACATCTTGCTACCTGGACAGTCACACAAAGTTTTTCCATAACATTGGGGCATCCATCTTCAGCCTATAGGCTGATAATACCTGGCAGACTTTTCAGTGAAGCAGGAAATTTGAAGATCTGTCTTGTACTGGCAAAGTTCATCAGTTGCTTTCTTCTATGTCCTGCAGAATGTCTGGCGGTCTCTTCTATGGAGCAGGAACCCTGAAGGACCATTCCATCTTTTGGAAAGTTCAGCAGTCACTTTTCTGTGGGTCCTGCATGCCCAGTTCATATAGCATAGAATAAAGCAGTCTAGGCAAGAGCAGTTTCTTACCCAAATGGCTAGCCTTGTCACATTGAAGGCAAATTCCATAACAAGTTTCTTCAATGCTCTCCAATCTCTCTGAAATAATTGGTGCTGCCAGAAGCAGACATGTCTCACTGTTGAGAAAAGTACTAAGTTCTTAAAACATTTTAAATGCCATATTCTGTAGTCTTTGGAGTGTTGAAGATTATCTATGTAACTGAAAAATATCTCTATATATCTAGAAAACCTAACTAAGATGACTACAAGTTTGACTATTATAAATGACTATTTATCTGTAATTTTTAATTATGCATTACATTTTTAATTGAACTGTATAAACATAATACCGTAAACAGAGTAGAAATACATATGCACAATGTGATAAAATCAACATTAAATTTGTATTAATAGACCAAGATCCATACCAATGCAAAGTATTCATCTCTATATCATATCCTATTTTTTTAAGAAATTGACTATAACCATTAATCACTTTTAATCAACCCTTTTAAATGAAAATAAACATTTATAAACAATCATTTTGGGAATTTGGGTGTAGTTTTCTCCAAACTACTTCCTACTATTTGTTGGGCAAAGTGTTTTTAGGGGTTCATGGAGACCTTTCAGGGGTCTTGTTTCATCAAACCACATTAGCCTGAAAGGAATCCACAGGTTCTCATCTTCTGTGGAAACAAAAGCTAACCTCTTTTCCAAAGTAACATATCCTTAGACTTAAATTTTTAAGTCAAGATACCTTTAAAATATATATGTTGGTTTACCTTAGCAGCCCCAGAATCAAACATTTATCTGCAGTCAAAAAATTCAAAGAAAACACAATAACATACATAATCCAGATTCTCTGTGTAGTATATTCCATCTTTATGTGGCTTATTTTTCTTTACTCCTTTGATCTATGACTGTACTCTTTTATATTACTTTTACTGTCTCTTTAAAGGCTTTACTCCTTTTTATAACTGTCTATATCTTACATACACTTTTTAAACACATGGTGACCTGTTCAGAGGTTTATATTTGTCTGAATCTGTCTTTATTGCATATCTGTAATCATTTTCTGACCAGGAGCTCTTCTTAAAATATTAAGCAGCATGGCTAGGACTAAGGCTGCTTTGATTTTTTGGCTCTGCCCAGTCCAACATGGTGGAGATATGTTTATCACCAGCTCTGTGAGCCATGCTCACTGCTCCAGCTCCAGAAACGCAATAGATCTCTGTTGTCAATAAGC